TGGTGTGGTGTGGTGCTGCTATAGGCATGGCACATCATGGTGTGGTGTGGTGCTGCTATATGCATGGCACATCATGGTGTGGTGTGGTGCTGCTATATGCATGGCACATCATGGTGTGGTGTGGTGCTGCTATATGCATGGCACATCATGGTGTGGTGTGGTGCTGCTATATGCATGGCACATCATGGTGTGGTGTGGTGCTGCTATATGCATGGCACGTCATGGTGTGGTGTGGTGCTGCTATATGCATGGCACATCATGGTGTGGTGTGGTGCTGCTATAGGCATGGCACATCATGGTGTGGTGTGGTGCTGCTATATGCATGGCACGTCATGGTGTGGTGTGGTGCTGCTATATGCATGGCACATCATGGTGTGGTGTGGTGCTGCTATATGCATGGCACATCATGGTGTGGTGTGGTGCTGCTATATGCATGGCACATCATGGTGTGGTGTGGTGCTGCTATATGCATGGCACATCATGGTGTGGTGTGGTGCTGCTATATGCATGGCACATCATGGTGTGGTGTGGTGCTGCTATATGCATGGCACGTCATGGTGTGGTGTGGTGCTGCTATATGCATGGCACATCATGGTGTGGTGTGGTGCTGCTATAGGCATGGCACATCATGGTGTGGTGTGGTGCTGCTATATGCATGGCACATCATGGTGTGGTGTGGTGCTGCTATATGCATGGCACATCATGGTGTGGTGTGGTGCTGCTATATGCATGGCACATCATGGTGTGGTGTGGTGCTGCTATAGGCATGGCACATCATGGTGTGGTGTGGTGCTGCTATATGCATGGCACATCATGGTGTGGTGTGGTGCTGCTATAGGCATGGCACATCATGGTGTGGTGTGGTGCTGCTATATGCATGGCACATCATGGTGTGGTGTGGTGCTGCTATAGGCATGGCACATCATGGTGTGGTGTGGTGCTGCTATATGCATGGCACGTCATGGTGTGGTGTGGTGCTGCTATATGCATGGCACATCATGGTGTGGTGTGGTGCTGCTATAGGCATGGCACATCATGGTGTGGTGTGGTGCTGCTATATGCATGGCACATCATGGTGTGGTGTGGTGCTGCTATAGGCATGGCACATCATGGTGTGGTGTGGTGCTGCTATATGCATGGCACATCATGGTGTGGTGTGGTGCTGCTATATGCATGGCACATCATGGTGTGGTGTGGTGCTGCTATATGCATGGCACATCATGGTGTGGTGTGGTGCTGCTATATGCATGGCACATCATGGTGTGGTGTGGTGCTGCTATATGCATGGCACATCATGGTGTGGTGTGGTGCTGTTATATGCATGGCACATCATGGTGTGGTGTGGTGCTGCTATATGCATGGCACATCATGGTGTGGTGTGGTGCTGCTATATGCATGGCACATCATGGTGTGGTGTGGTGCTGCTATATGCATGGCACATCATGGTGTGGTGTGGTGCTGCTATATGCATGGCACATCATGGTGTGGTGTGGTGCTGCTATAGGCATGGCACATCATGGTGTGGTGTGGTGCTGCTATATGCATGGCACATCATGGTGTGGTGTGGTGCTGCTATAGGCATGGCACATCATGGTGTGGTGTGGTGCTGCTATATGCATGGCACATCATGGTGTGGTGTGGTGCTGCTATATGCATGGCACATCATGGTGTGGTGTGGTGCTGCTATATGCATGGCACATCATGGTGTGGTGTGGTGCTGCTATATGCATGGCACATCATGGTGTGGTGTGGTGCTGCTATATGCATGGCACATCATGGTGTGGTGTGGTGCTGCTATATGCATGGCACATCATGGTGTGGTGTGGTGCTGCTATATGCATGGCACATCATGGTGTGGTGTGGTGCTGCTATATGCATGGCACATCATGGTGTGGTGTGGTGCTGCTATAGGCATGGCACATCATGGTGTGGTGTGGTGCTGCTATATGCATGGCACATCATGGTGTGGTGTGGTGCTGCTATATGCATGGCACATCATGGTGTGGTGTGGTGCTGCTATATGCATGGCACATCATGGTGTGGTGTGGTGCTGCTATATGCATGGCACATCATGGTGTGGTGTGGTGCTGCTATATGCATGGCACATCATGGTGTGGTGTGGTGCTGCTATATGCATGGCACATCATGGTGTGGTGTGGTGCTGCTATATGCATGGCACATCATGGTGTGGTGTGGTGCTGCTATATGCATGGCACATCATGGTGTGGTGTGGTGCTGCTATATGCATGGCACATCATGGTGTGGTGTGGTGCTGCTATATGCATGGCACATCATGGTGTGGTGTGGTGCTGCTATATGCATGGCACATCATGGTGTGGTGTGGTGCTGCTATATGCATGGCACATCATGGTGTGGTGTGGTGCTGCTATATGCATGGCACATCATGGTGTGGTGTGGTGCTGCTATATGCATGGCACATCATGGTGTGGTGTGGTGCTGCTATATGCATGGCACATCATGGTGTGGTGTGGTGCTGCTATATGCATGGCACATCATGGTGTGGTGTGGTGCTGCTATATGCATGGCACATCATGGTGTGGTGTGGTGCTGCTATATGCATGGCACATCATGGTGTGGTGTGGTGCTGCTATATGCATGGCACATCATGGTGTGGTGTGGTGCTGCTATATGCATGGCACATCATGGTGTGGTGTGGTGCTGCTATATGCATGGCACATCATGGTGTGGTGTGGTGCTGCTATATGCATGGCACATCATGGTGTGGTGTGGTGCTGCTATATGCATGGCACATCATGGTGTGGTGTGGTGCTGTTATATGCATGGCACATCATGGTGTGGTGTGGTGCTGCTATATGCATGGCACATCATGGTGTGGTGTGGTGCTGCTATATGCATGGCACATCATGGTGTGGTGTGGTGCTGCTATATGCATGGCACATCATGGTGTGGTGTGGTGCTGCTATATGCATGGCACATCATGGTGTGGTGTGGTGCTGCTATAGGCATGGCACATCATGGTGTGGTGTGGTGCTGCTATATGCATGGCACATCATGGTGTGGTGTGGTGCTGCTATAGGCATGGCACATCATGGTGTGGTGTGGTGCTGCTATATGCATGGCACATCATGGTGTGGTGTGGTGCTGCTATATGCATGGCACATCATGGTGTGGTGTGGTGCTGCTATATGCATGGCACATCATGGTGTGGTGTGGTGCTGCTATATGCATGGCACATCATGGTGTGGTGTGGTGCTGCTATATGCATGGCACATCATGGTGTGGTGTGGTGCTGCTATAGGCATGGCACATCATGGTGTGGTGTGGTGCTGCTATATGCATGGCACATCATGGTGTGGTGTGGTGCTGCTATAGGCATGGCACATCATGGTGTGGTGTGGTGCTGCTATATGCATGGCACATCATGGTGTGGTGTGGTGCTGCTATATGCATGGCACATCATGGTGTGGTGTGGTGCTGCTATATGCATGGCACATCATGGTGTGGTGTGGTGCTGCTATATGCATGGCACATCATGGTGTGGTGTGGTGCTGCTATATGCATGGCACATCATGGTGTGGTGTGGTGCTGCTATATGCATGGCACATCATGGTGTGGTGTGGTGCTGCTATATGCATGGCACATCATGGTGTGGTGTGGTGCTGCTATATGCATGGCACATCATGGTGTGGTGTGGTGCTGCTATATGCATGGCACGTCATGGTGTGGTGTGGTGCTGCTATATGCATGGCACGTCATGGTGTGGTGTGGTGCTGCTATATGCATGGCACATCATGGTGTGGTGTGGTGCGCATGGCACATCATGGTGTGGTGTGGTGCTGCTATATGCATGGCACATCATGGTGTGGTGTGGTGCTGCTATATGCATGGCACATCATGGTGTGGTGTGGTGCTGCTATATGCATGGCACATCATGGTGTGGTGTGGTGCTGCTATATGCATGGCACATCATGGTGTGGTGTGGTGCTGCTATATGCATGGCACATCATGGTGTGGTGTGGTGCTGCTATATGCATGGCACATCATGGTGTGGTGTGGTGCTGCTATATGCATGGCACATCATGGTGTGGTGTGGTGCTGCTATAGGCATGGCACATCATGGTGTGGTGTGGTGCTGCTATATGCATGGCACATCATGGTGTGGTGTGGTGCTGCTATGTGCATGGCACATCATGGTGTGGTGTGGTGCTGCTATAGGCATGGCACATCATGGTGTGGTGTGGTGCTGCTATATGCATGGCACATCATGGTGTGGTGTGGTGCTGCTATAGGCATGGCACATCATGGTGTGGTGTGGTGCTGCTATATGCATGGCACATCATGGTGTGGTGTGGTGCTGCTATATGCATGGCACATCATGGTGTGGTGTGGTGCTGCTATATGCATGGCACATCATGGTGTGGTGTGGTGCTGCTATATGCATGGCACATCATGGTGTGGTGTGGTGCTGCTATATGCATGGCACATCATGGTGTGGTGTGGTGCTGCTATATGCATGGCACGTCATGATCAGCTGACCGTCCTCGTCTGCCTCTCTGAGCTCGTGCGAGGGTTTGAAGGCTTTCAGCACCATATCATTTCAGCACCCCTTTGTCTTCGACTGCCTCTGTGCTTCTATCTATGTGCCTGCATTCATGTCTCCTCCCTTATCGAACTACAACATCTTTTGAGATTCACCAAAGTTTTGTCTGTATCGAAGTGTCTACATACATACATGTCCCTCTCATCAGCACTACAAGTTCTGAGGCGCCTCAAAACTCCTATGTGCTTTTTTATATGTGTTTACGTACATGTCCCTCTCATCCGAGCTACTGCAGCCACAAGTACGAGCACGTGCCTCTGTCAGTGTCCGGGCATGCATCCTTCCCTCCCTCCTAAATCTGAGCTGCTTTTGAGAACTCTCAAAAGCATGCATTGTTCCCTCCCCCCAACCCACCCCCCCCCCCCCCCCCCCCCCTCCCCTATCTCTTTCTCTGTTTCCATACTCCCTCTCTCATCAGAACTACAGCGGCCACAAGTACGAGCATGTGCCCACGCATGAGTTTGTGCATGCATTTGAGCAGGAGCACAATGGTATGGATGGTTGATGGCATGATATGGATGGGGGATGGCATGATATGGATGGGGGATGGCATGATATGGATGGGAAATGGCGTTATGTATGGGAGTTGTCCCCTGGTCATGACATGGTGTGGATGGGGAGTGACATGGTGACAGGGATTGCTTTTGAGTTGACTCAAAAGAGGTGACTTGGTGGCAGGGTTCAGTTGATGGATGCAATGCCTTTGCAGCCCACCTACTAGCACACAGCCCCTTGACACACGAACATGCATGCAAATGAGCAGCTTGCATCCTCTCCCTCCCTCTTCTTTTGCTCTTCAAACCCCACCCAACCGTCCCCCCCGTTCCCATCCTCCCATCCGTTCCCATCTCTCCGACCCCATATTTCCTTTCCCAACTTTCCGTTCCCAACTTCCATTACCAACTGCCTTCCCCCATCCACCTGCCCATGATATCATCTGTCCTACTTGCATGCCTGCCACTACAGTGACGTGGCAGTCCATTGACCAATCAGTGCAGAGAATGCTGCGGGAGCTCCTGGCTGCTGCTGTTACTGTTCATCCAGAGATGCAGCCAGATGACGACACCTGTCGAGCAATCTACGGTGTGGATGTGATGCTGGATGATCACTTCCAACCCAAGCTTCTGGAGGTTAGTCGTGCAAACTTCTCCTCCTGCCTATCTCTCTATTGATCTTACTGCAAACTGTTCGCCGTGCAATTATCCCCTCTTTTCCTTCTATTGAGCATCCTCCTGCCCCACATTTTGTTTTTTCGGTCATGGTTCTATTCTCCCATACTTATATGGATTGCATATGTGCATATGTTATGTTTTCATTGTTAGAAACAATGTACACATATGTTATGTATTCATTGTTGCATATGTGCACATTCATGTGGCCGTGTACAGGTAACATACTGCCCGGATTGCACACGTGCTGTGACGTACGACATGAAGAGAATCTTTCCAAGACTTACCGGCTCGGATGGCAATGGAGAAGCGGAAGATGAATCCGCGTGGCTGCGACCAAAGAGCTTTTTCAATGACGTGTTTGGGTGCCTCTTTCTTGGAGAAACCCAAAATGTGCGGCGCTTGTGAAACCCAAAATGTGCGGCGCTTGTGAAACCTTCCGCCTGTGGTGTCAGTTAGGGGTTGATGGATGGGGTGGGGAGGAGGGAGAGAAGAAAAGGGTGGGGTGGTTGGGGAAGACAGGGCGAGTTACAGGGAGGTTGAGGGGATAGTAGGGTTAGAGGGGTTGAAGGGTTAGAGGGGAAAGGACGATGCAGAAATAGAGGAAAACGTAGGAGAGGTGGGAGCTGGTGCTGCTTCTGGTAGTGGTGCTGGTGGTGCTGTTGGTGCTGGCAGTGGTGCTGCTGGTGATAGCACAGTTGAGAATGACTGCAAGCGATGATCTGTTGGGAGAGGCAGCAAAGCTGACAGGTGCACAAGTGGAGGCAGAGGCAGATGAGGTCGGAGTTTTTGGGGCAAGTGGTGACCCTGTTGCTGCTTCAGGATACGACTGGGCAGCTTTGAAACATTCAATTGCCCTAATCTGACCACAAGAACGGCGGATTAGTTTTTGTTTTGTTTATTTTCTTCCTTCTTACAACACCGTTTGATTGTTTTATACTCAGACACCTGTAACGTTAATTTGGTGCAGCTTACCTGCTCTCTGCTTTCTTGTAATTCCTTTCTGTTTTGAGACATCACACTACGGTTCACCGTACTTCCGTATGCCTACATTTTCTCCTGGCAACTACCGGTAGTAGCATGCAAGAGTTGTGATTGCTGAAGCTCGCTTGTGGCCGAAGAGAAAAGGGCGAGGGAGGTGGTTAGGAAGGGATGCTTTGAAGCACATGCATGCAGCGGGGCGGGGCGGGTCCCACACATTGCCAGTCCCTGCTTTACCTAGCTTGCTCACAGATGCCGGAACAGCCCCTGACATTCGGCTCTCTGTTAGTGTCCCATCAAAATGGCTCTAAGCACAAGCAGGCAGCGGGGTTCCGCACAGGTTGGGGTTCCCTGGTTTGAACGAGCCTCTCTTCATCTTGCTCAGAGCAGCCGGAACAGCCCCTGACAGCCGATTCCCTGCCAGCTTCACTTGCCATAACCTTGCCGGCCAAATCGCGGGAATATTCCCCGACAGCTTGTTATACGACAACCCTAGCCTCTGTAACCATCCCATCTTTTTCACCCCGGCTGGGATCGGTCCCGTGAGGGCGTTGTTATCGAGGCGGAGGCGCATGAGGTTTCTAAAGGATCCGATTGTAGCGGGGATGGGACCGGAGAGGCGGTTGGAGGAGAGGTAGAGAACCTGAAGGGAGGCGGCGCAGGAGGGGGAGAGTGGGGTCGGCGGACCGGAGAGGGCGTTGGAGGCGAGGTTGAGGATGGTGAGGGCCTGCTTGCCCTGGCAGAAGGCGGGGATGGGGCCTGAGGTGTGGGGGAGGGGAGGTAGGAGCAAGCACAGGGATAGAGCAGCGAGAAAAAAAGAGTCAAATCAAAAGGTGTTAGCAAGGGAAGTGTTAGCAGCAAGGGTTCAGGATAGGGAGGAGAGAGGGGGAGGAGAGAAACGGGGGAGGGGGGGGAGGAGAGTGGGGTGGGCGGGCTGGAGAGAGTGAGGAGAGGGCGTTGGAGGCGAGACTGAGGAACTTGAGGGCCTGCTCGGCCTGGAAGTGGGGGATGGGGCCTGAGGGGTGGGGGGAGACAGAGAGAGAAGAGATGGGGGGGATGGGAATCAGAGCTATAAAAAGGCACATGCAAGGTTGAGGGGGTGAGGGCCTGCTCGCCCTGGCAGAATGGAAGGTGGGGCCTGAGGGTGGGGGATGGGACGAAGAAGTTGATTGATGGGGCCTGAGGGTGGGGGATGGGACGAAGAAGTTGATTGATGGGGCCTGAGGGTGGGGGATGGGACGAAGAAGTTGATTGATGGGGCCTGAGGGGTGGGGGATGGGATGAAGAAGTTGATTGATGGGGCCTGAGGGGTGGGGGATGGGATGAAGAAGTTGATTGATGGGGCCTGAGGGGTGGGGGATGGGACGAAGAAGTTGATTGATGGGGCCTGAGGGTGGGGGATGGGACGAAGAAGTTGATTGATGGGGCCTGAGGGTGGGGGATGGGACGAAGAAGTTGATTGATGGGGCCTGAGGGTGGGGGATGGGACGAAGAAGTTGATTGATGGGGCCTGAGGGTGGGGGATGGGACGAAGAAGTTGATTGATGGGGCCTGAGGGTGGGGGATGGGACGAAGAAGTTGATTGATGGGGCCTGAGGGTGGGGGATGGGACGAAGAAGTTGATTGATGGGGCCTGAGGGTGGGGGATGGGACGAAGAAGTTGATTGATGGGGCCTGAGGGTGGGGGATGGGATGAAGGGGGAAGTTGATTGATGGGGCCTGAGGGGTGGGGTGGGTGGAACAATGGGTTAGCAGTGGATTCTTTCTATAAATTAATACACTGATTTGGCCAGATCTGCAGTTTTCCGGTCAGCTCACCTGTCAGAGCGTTTCCCCCGAGGTCCAAGTATTCAAGCCAGGGTAAACGGGCGAGGCGTGGGGGAATGCTCCCTGTGAACTTGTTGAATCCGAGGTCCAGAGCAGTGATGTCCGTGGGCAGGTTCGCAAACGGCTGCAAGCTGCCCGAGAAATTGTTGTGGCTCAGAACGAGGCCATTCGGAAAGGAACTTCCGGACTTGAAACAGTTTGCTGGAACGGCTCCTGTCAATCTATTGTGCGACAAATTAGTTGCTACGCCGCTCTTATCGCACACGATTCGCGGAAATGAGCCCGAAAACAGATTGTGCGAAACGTCAATGGCCGTCGTGTATTTGCTGAACCGGATCGTGTTGAAGTCCCCGGTCAGCCTGTTCCCGCTTACACGAAAGCTTGAGGACATTATTTGCTGCCCGCTCAGGTCGCCGGAAAGGCGGTTCCGGCTTAAATCAAGATCATACCATCCCTGCAGCAGAGCAGGGGGGACTTTCCCGGACAACCTATTATTCCCGAGATCCAGAGTTGATAGCATAGGCGCCGCGTACGCAGCAGGACGTTGTGGTAACCCGCCGGAAAAGAAATTTCGGGCGGCTTTTATATGGCTAAGCACCCGCATTTGAAGAAGGGCGAGAGGAAGAGGACCAGTGAAGCAGTTACCGCTGAAATCGAGACTCTCCAATTGTATAAACCGGGAAATTGATCGCGGGACAGAGCCAGCAAGCCAGAGGCCCTTCAGACTTAGAGCGACGAGTTTCGTTAACTGGCCGATAGAATCGGAGAGGATTGCGGGGAACTTTCCGCCGGGAACGCGCGCAGTACGGTTGCAAAGGCGAGGCGTGGGTGGGGGGGGGACGAGAGGGCCGACGTTGTTTGAGAGGTCTAGCGTCATAACATCGTTGTTGCAGCAAGTTACGCCGGGCCACGAGCACGCGTCCGGCTGGTTCGCGGGGATGGGTATCCGCGCGGCCGTGAAGATCGCCCTGAGAGCCGCCGCCGTGTCAGCCGCCGAAGTCTGCGGCGAGACACTGCTGGTTCCGCCCACCGCTGCGCGCGCTTCGGCCGCAGATTCTGTCCCGCAGGGATCAAAGATTAATGTTCTCTCCGCACGCCGCGCAGCGAGATATTGCGCCGCGCGAGGCGGAACTGTCCGCGCGGAAAGTCCTCGTCCGCGGCGAGCAGCATGCAGCTTCGATACAAGCTGCCTCGATATGGGCTGGAAAGCTATCGTCGGTGAGCAGTAGAGGAGTAGCAGGAGGAGGCACGCTGTCGTACTAACGTGAGCGCGCAACGCGTCGTGAAGAACGGTGATGATGGAACGCGCGACTCGAGGGTAATCTACGGCCGCCATGTGTGAGTCCGAGCCAAGCAATTGCTAGCTTCCAAAAATTGTTTTGTGAGAAACCAAACCTACTACACAGTTTCAGAGAGAAACCTAAAACGAGTTTCCATTTTGAGCGAGGAACTAAGATATGGGAATAAGTAGAGGCGATACAAAGTTGAGTCTTCAAGATAAGATGGCTGCTCTGAGTATTCCTGGAGGAGGTGAGTGCACGGCATCCGCTCAGTGTCCTACGTGGCAGTGTCCACGTCGGAAGACACACCCACCACCGTGCTATGCGATATTCTAGCCGACGGCCGTCCACATAACATACTGCGGGAGTCATTGCTGTATGGGAGTGTAATGAGCGTGCGCTAATTGATGTGAGATTGAGACGGCTACGCCAATGAAATGAACGGCTACTGGTGGTGGTATGGCCGATTGGAATGCAGGCGACGGCAGCGCAAGCAACGGTTGGGCTTGGCCTGGCTTGGCAGGCATTTGCGCTTCCTGAGAGAGAGGCACCACTAACGAGGCATGGCGGGTGGAGAGAAGTGGAAGGGGTTGAATTGCAGCTGTGGATTGGATTGGGTTGGAAGTGGCAGTGGAAGGGCTAAAGGCGGTTGCTATGGTTTGGAATGGTTTGGAAGTTGAAAGTGGAAGGGGTTGGGTTGCTGTGGGTTGGGTCGCTATTGGTTGGGTTGCTATGGTTGGGCTGCTATGGTTGGGCTGCTATGGTTGGGCTGCTATGGTTGGGCTGCTATGGTTGGGCTGCTATGGTTGGGCTGCTATGGCTGGGCTGCTATGGTTGGGCTGCTATGGTTGGGCTGCTATGGTTGGGCTGCTATGGTTGGGCTGCTATGGTTGGGCTGCTATGGTTGGGCTGCTATGGCTGGGCTGCTATGGTCTGGGGTTGCTATGTTTGGGTTGATATGGTTGGGTTGCTATGGGTTGGTTTGATATGGTTTGGTTTGATATTGGTTTGCTATGGGAACGGTTGTTATGGTTTGGTTTGCTATGGCTGGTTTGATATGGCTGGATTGCTATGGTTTGAATTCCCATGGCTTGGGTAGCTATGGTTGGGTTGAGATGGTTTGGGCTGATATGGCTTGGGGTGATTTGGCTTGGGTTGATTTGGGTTAGGTGCAGTGAGGGCAGCCACAGTAGTAATTTGGAGCTCAGGAAGGTTTGGAGAGGAAAGGTTCGGCATTTTGGGCGAGGCTGGGAAATTTGTGAAGCTGACGAATACCGCAGCATAAAGAAAATTGAGAGCGAAGAGATTCATGAAAGGTCGAGTGCGGTCCACGTAATTAGGTCAAATATCGCCATGACTTCACGCAGCACGGTGAAGCTGAACGCGCGTTGCGTTGTTACGTCATGTCAGCCGCCTAGACCCCCCCACTACCTCTCATTTGCTCGCGCGCGCTAGCACTTCAGGAAGCACTAGGTGTAATGGAGCACATATAGGGCAACAGCGCTGAAATGCCATAAGGAACGCCATGTTCCAGCATATGTTACCAGATCCCTGCTGTTGATCCTACTATTTTTACTAGCTGACTTCGAAGATCTTAGGAAATCCGATTTTTATTTCCTGCGGCCACCCGCCAGGCTACCACTAGCCGATATTGATATTGGGATTCGCGATTCCTACAGCAGATCGTCACACAACAGCAGCATTCAAACATCATTCGTTACAATCACATTCGTTATAGGGTAGAATAATGTCTCTTCTGGACTCCGCCGCCACTCGCGAATCCATCTTCTTTGGGGTCGACCAGGTAGGCCGTAAGTGAAGCTGTATCCCCGTAATATGCTGATTCGTAATCCGTTATTGAAGCTTGTGAATGTTCTGCGAGGATTGGGATGCGGTGAGCGAGAGCTTGATGGGTTCGATCAGCTTCGGTAGTTAGTAGCCGTTATCCCCGCAAGAAGCCATTCGTTATTGCCGCATCGTCTGCAGAATATTGATCGTCGCTGGAGGAGTGGGACATATCCAACCGTCAACTCTTTATTGCCTCATATCTTCATATTAGCGTACGGTATTCTCATACACCTCTTAAACCAAGCCGATTTCCTTCCCTTAAACTTTTTCCCTCTTCCCTTCCCTGCACCCCACCCTTGGGATTCTCCCCACCTTGGCCTTCCAGGTGGCAGAATGGCAGATCAGAGGCCGGGTCCCGGATTCCGTGGACGTGACAGCTGGCATGCTCGGGGTGCAGCTGCAGGACGACCTCTGGTAGGCTCGGGGGTGCAGGTTCGGAGATGCAGGTTAGGAGGCGCAGGTTCGGAGGTGCAGGTTCGGAGCGGTACGTTTGGCGACATAGGTCTTGAATAGGTGCTGGTCGAAGGGCGTGTTTCCAGAAAGTTTGTGCCCAACCAGCCAGCCAGTCATGTGCAGCGGTAACGGTGATCATGTAGTGAGTCATCTTTCGAGGCACCTCAAAATGCGGCGGCTTTTGAGGCGCCCCACAATGTGGTGGTGACGTGATGGTGTTGAGTCAGACTGAGCGCAGCCCACCATCATGGTTCAATCATCCTGACCTGACCGCACACACCATTCCATTCCACCCACGTTCGCCACGGCTAGCTGGCTGCGTGTCATGTGGACCTCCGACCTCCTTCCATGTGTCGGTTCGCATTCTGGAGTGGTACTAAGGGGTCATGAGGGGTCACAAGTCGGTTCATTCCGTTGATTAGATTACTAGAAGTGTTTTGTTTCCTTCTCCCTCTTCTTCCGTGCCCTCCCTGCCACGTGTAGGTTCGTGAGTGGTCTGTGTGACAACCGCAATCCAGCCCTGGGTCGGTCGGGGGTGAGAGTGGCGGCACACGTAAGGCTGCTGGTGGAGATGTGGCATCGTAAGGCTTGGATTGGAGGGTGGTGCGGGTGATGAAGGGTGGTGCGGGAGGGAGGGTGGTGCAGGTGAAGGAGGGTGGTGCAGGTGATGGAGGGTGGTGCGGGAGATGGAGGGTGGTGCAGGTGATGGAGGGTGGTGCGGGAGATGGAGGGTGGTGGAGAGCGGTGGAGGGTGGTGGAGGGTGGTGGAGAGTGGTGGAGGGTGGTGGAGTGTGGTGGAGTGTGGTGGAGTGTGGTGGAGTGTGGTGGAGTGTGGTGGAGTGTGGTGGAGTGTGGTGGAGTAGGGTGAAGAAGCGCTGGTGGGCTGGTCGGTCGGTGGTGAGGTGAGGGTGGCGGCTCAGCAGCATTCCAAGGCTGGTGGACGTCAGGCGCAGTGAGGCGCGGTGAGGCGCGGTGAGGCGCTGTGATTGATGGCTTGCTGGCTAAAGTGAAGTGCAGTGTAACACTCTGTCACAGTGCGACACACACAGCAACCCAGCTGAGGGTGGCGGCACACGTGTCCCAACTGTTGCTGGACGTGCGGCACTGTAGGCTGGCAGATTTTGATCGCAACCAAGGTGATTGTCAGGTAAATAGATTCGAGAAGCCTTGAGAACGTAGTTTTTTCAACCTGAAAGTTATTCGCATACCGTCCTTATCCTTCCTCCCTCCTTCCCCCCACTCTCCCTTCTCCTGCCCATCTCCAGCCCTGAACCACTATTGCCTGCTGCTGCTGCCCACAATCGCCTGCTCCTGCTGCCAGTGCTTAAACTTCTCTCTCATGTTATCCTTTCCCTGCCCTCTCTCCTTTCCTTCCCATTCTCGTCCCCTTCCCCTCCCTCTCCCCCTTCCTCTCCTCTTCTCCTTCCCCAGCCTTGGCCCACAATCGCCTGCTTCAGCTGCCAGTGCTGCGAGTGGCTGTCACTCAGGTGAGCGGGCGGGTTGTGGATGGAGGTTGGAAAAGGGGAGAGATTGACACAGGGAGCGAGTGAAAGGGTTGTTTGAGAGGAAGAGGTCGAGAGGGAGGAAAGAAAGTGCTGGTCGTCTGCTGCAGCTTCTGGTGCTGCCATTGGTTGTCACTCAGGTGAGAGGGCGGGGTGTCGATGGAGGTTATGGAGAGGGAGGGGAAGGTAGGGAGGAAGTGCTACCAGCAGCATGCTGACCGCTGTGCCCCCCGCTCACTGACCGGATGATCTTGAGGGAAGGGGAGGAGGTGGACGAGGAGGAGGGAGAGAGGGACGTGGAGGGGAGAGGAGAGGGGAAGAGGTGGTGCGGTTACACCCGGTGCTGTTGTAACACACAGTGGTATGGGAATACCCAGTGGTATGGGAATACCCTTTAGTATGGGAATACCCAATGGTATGGGAATACCCAATGGTATGGGAATACCCAGTGGTATGGGAATACCCAGTGGTATGGGAACACCCAGTGGTATGGGAATACCCAGTGGTATGGGAATACCCAGTGGTATGGGAATACCCAGTGGTATGGGAATACCCAGTGGTATGGGAATACCCAGTGGTATGGGAATACCCAATGGTATTGGAATACCCAGAAGTGATCTTATCCAACACTGAATGCTTTTCCCTCTGCATGGCTGAGTCATTTGCAGTGGTTGCGAGAGCTTCTTATATTGGGTCAGGGCGTGCTTATAACAAGCGGTGCACATGAGGAAACTGGGACCAACAGGGCACTGAAATTGTGGGGTGGAGAGGGGTGTATGGATGATGCAAGTATGGGTGACTTGGGGCTGCATGAGAGGTTGTCTTGGGATGCAAAAGGGGGACTTGAGGCGTCTGGGAAGTGGAATTTGACTGCGAAGGGGAGGTGGAGGGGTGGAGAGGCACGGAGGCAGGAGGGGGAAGAGAAGGCGAGGAGGAAGGGAGGGGGGGCATTGGCAGCGGAAGGCTAGGAAGGCGAAAAGGGGGGCAGAAAAGTGAGGAGGAGAGGGGTCAATGGTAAGTCGAATCACGGAAGGAGGAGGAGTGACAGGATGAGGAGGTGGAGAGGGAGAAGGGGGGAGTGGGAAGGAGGGGAGCATAAGTGGAGGAGGTGGAACGGACAGATTTTGAGGAAGGGACCAAGAAGCTTCTGAGGGAGAGGGAGAGGGAGCTGAGTACAATTGCGCAAGTGGTTCGGGCGAGTAGCAGCACGGAGCAGGCCGAATAGCGGTTGTGGGGTAAGGGAAGGGCTAATATCGGGTTGAATAATGAAGGGGATGGTAAGAAGAGAAAGAAGGGAAGTCTGGGGGAGGAGACCAAAGGAGATTCAGGGAAAGGGGAGACTGGAAACAGGAAGACACGAAAAAAGGAGCGGAGGAGGAGTCAGCAACGCGGCGGAAAGGGAGGGGCTTGTGGGAAAAGGAGTAGTCTTGCTGAGAAGAACCTTCCCAGAAAGAGGTGGAGGGTTGCGGCTAACTGAGTGCCCTGTGCTGTGGGGACCATGCCATCCCTAGCTGCCAGCTCCAGCGTTCTTCCGAACCTGGAGCTGCCGCTCGAGGCTGCGAGGAGGTCCGGTGCAGGCCCGGGCTGGGCATTTGGTCCTGATGGAGGTTCGGGCGGCCCGATTCCGAACGAGAGAGCGCGACAGGAGGAGCAGAGTGGTGGAAGGGGAGGGAGAGAAGGGAAGGGTGGGGCAGTTGCGGAGGGCAGGTCGTGGGACAGGGAGATTAATGCGGGGATTGGTTGGGTTAGAGGGGAAGGGGACGATGCAGAATCAGAGGAGAACTGTGGAGAGGTGGGATCTGATGCTGCTTTTGGTGGTGGTGATGGTGGGTGTTGCTGGTGCTGGTGAGGTGGGTGCGGTAGCACACTCAGAGAAGGCTGCAAGTGCTGCATTGTTGGGAGAAACAGCAGCATCAATGGCGCGGGCAAGGGGATCGGTCACAGCGGCAGAAGCAGCGGCAGAAGCAGCTGCAGAAGCAGCGGCAGAAGCAGTGGCAGAAGCAGCGGCAGAAGCAGCAGCAGAAGAAGCGGCAGAAGAAGCGGCAGAAGCAGCGGCAGAAGCAGCAGCAGAAGAAGCGGCAGAAGCAGCGGGGGAAGCAGCGGCAGAAGCAGCGGCAGAAGCAGCGGGGGAAGCAGCGACAGAAGCAGCGGCAGAAGCAGCGGGGGAAGCAGCGGCAGAAGCAGCGGGGGGAAGAAGCGGGGGAAGCAGCGGCAGAAGCAGCGGGGGGAAGCAGCGGGGGAAGCAGCGGGGAGAAGTGCTGGGAAAAGTTCTGGCCCTGTTGCGGCTTCAGGATACAATTGGGCAGCTTAAGATATTCAATTGCCCTGATCTGACGGCACAAACAAACACCTGATTTGCTTCTCTGTTTTTGTTTGTTTGCTTGCTTGTTCGATTTTTTCTTTTCTTTTCCCAAGAAATCGTGGAGTCCTGTATGGAGGTTACCGGTACTAGTTTCCAGTTTTCTTTTGTGTGTGTGTAATTTCTATAAGTTGACACATCTTTCTATGATACTTCAACCTTACAACTAGCCAGCACAGGTTTTTCTCGATGAAGTTTGCTTTTGGTCTGAGAACGCAGGTACTGTAAGGGAGGGTACCGTACGGGTTGAGGGGGTTAGGGAGAGGTGTGGGGGTGAAGGGGTTCCCCCAGATGCAAGCGAGCAGTGCTGTTCTGCTCAAACTGATGCTCCTTGGCTTGGAAGAGCCCCTCTGCAGCATGCTTAGAGCAGCACCATTCAAACAGGAGTTACATATTATATTACCGTACATGTATTACGGTATATTATATTTATTTATGTAAGCAGGGGTGGATCATAAGGTATGATTCCAATCTAACCACAACCACGAATGGTTCTAAACACAAGCAGGCAGCGGGGTCCCACACAAATTGCCGTTCCCTGGTTTGAACGAGTGTTTTTTCAGCTTGCTCAGGGCAGCCGGAACAGCCCCTGACAGCCGATTTCCCGCCAGCAGCACCTGCCGTGTCCTCGCCGGCCAAGCCGCGGGAATGGAACCTGATAGCATGTTATTCGACAGCCAAAGTTTTCGCAGCCGTTTCATGTTGCTCACACCGGCTGGGATCGCTCCCGTGAGAGCATTATTGTCGAGGTGCAGGCGCCTTAGGTGCTTAAAGGAGCTGATCATAGCGGGGATGGGGCCAGAGAGGCGGTTGGAGGAGAGGTAGAGGAAGGAGAGGGAGGCAGAGCAGTGGGAGGAGAGTGGGGTGGGCGGGCCGGAGAGGGCGTTGTAGGCGAGACTGAGGAAGGTGAGCCGTTGCCCGGCCTTGCAGAAGGCTGGGATGGGGCCTGAGGGGTGGGGGATGGGAGGTAGGAGCAAGCACGGGGAAAGAGCAGGGAGGAATGAAGAGTCAAATCAAGAAGGAAAGTGTTAGCAGCAAGGGGAGCAGGATCGGGAGGAGAGAGGGGAGGAGAGAGACGGAGCAGGAGGATAAGGCCAGGGGAATGGGCGGGCCGGAGAGGGCATTGAAGGCGAGATTGAGGAAGACGGGTTGGCAGGAGGGGATGAGGCCTGAGGGATGCGGAGAGGGGGGATAGAAGGAAGCTAACTGATAGGGCCTGAGGGATGGGGCAGCTGAAGCAGAGAAAAAATAAGAGTGGACAAGAGGAGTCAACAGAAAGCTCAATGGAAGAGAACAATGAGCGTTCTTTCAGTCATCATACCTGCCAGAGCGTTTGCCCCGAGGTCCAAGTGTTCAAGCTGGGGTAAAATGGCAAGGCGTGGGGGAATTGTCCCTGTGAACTTGTTGAACCCGAGGTCCAGAGCCTTGATGTCCGTGGGCAGGTTCGAAAACGGCTGCAAGCTGCCTGAGAAATTGTTGTGGCTGAAAAAGAGGCCATTCGGAGAGAAACTTAGGGACTCAAAACAGTCTGCTGGAACGGCTCCTGTCAGGCGATTATGCGAAAAGTCAGTTCCTACGCCGCCCCGATCGCACACGATTCGCGGGAATGAGCCCGAAAACAAATTGTGCGAAACGTTGATGCCCCTCACGGAATTGCTGAACCGGATCGTGTTGAAGTTCCCGCTCAGCCTGTTCCCGCTTACGCTAAAGGCTGAGGACATTATTTGCTGCCCGCTCAGGTCGCCAGAAAGGCGGTTCCGACTTAAATCAATTCCGTACGATTTCTTCAGCAGAGCAGGGGGGATATTCCCGGTTAGCCGATTCGAGGACAAAAGTATCCCTTCGAGGTTCGGCAGCGTCGCGAGGGCAGCAGGGATCGGCCCGGACAGCCTATTATTCGCGAGATCCAGCCACGATAGCGAAGTCGCCGCGTACGCAGCAGGACCTTGTGGTAACCCGCCGGAGAAGAAATTTTGACTCGCGAGCGCAATGCTAAGCGTCGGCGCGCGAAAAATGGCGAGAGGAAGAGGACCAGCGAAGCAGTTAGAGCGAAGATCGAGATTTGTCATTTGTGTAAGCCGGGAGATGGATCGCGGGAAAGAGCCAGCAAGCAAGAGATTCGTCGCATGGAGATCGGTGAGACCCGTTAACTGCCCGATAGAATCGGAAAGGGTCGCGGGGAACTTTCCGCCGGGTTCGCGCGCAGTACGGTTGCAAAGGCGAGGCGTGGGTGGGGGGGTTACGAAAGTGTTGAGGTTGGACGAAAGGTATAGCTGTATAACAACGCCTTTGCAGCAAGTCACGCCGGGCCACGTGCACACATCATTGCTATCCGGGATAGGTATCAGCGCTGCCGTGAAGATCGCCGTGAGAGCCGCCGTGACAGCCGCCGAAGCCGGCGACGAGCCGCTGCTGGTTCCGCCCACCGCTGCACGCGCGTCGGACGCAGTGTCTGTTCCGCAGGGATCAAAGAATAATGCTCTCTCCGCCCGTCGCGCAGCGAGGTATTGCGCCGCGCGAGGCGGAACCATAAGCGCGGAGAGTCCTCGTCCGCGGCGAGCAGCAGGCAGCTTCGATTCAAGGAAAGCAGTCGTCGGTGAGCAGTATAGGAGTAGTAGGAGGAGGCACGCTGTCGTACTAACGTGAGCACGCAACGCACCGTGAAGAACGGTGATGGAACGCGCGACTCGAGGGTAGTAATATATGTCCGCCATGCGCGACTCCGAGTCAAGCGATTTCTAGCTTCCGGAAATTGTTCGCGTGAGAAGCGAAACCTACAGTTCAGAGTGACACCTGAAATGGGTTTCCACTGGAAGCAAGGAAGCGATACGAGCTGAGCTTCCTGGCGATACGAGGAGATACGAACTGAATTTCCTGGCGATACGGAGGCGATAAGATGGCGGTGAATGTTGTGGAGGTGAGTGCTCGATGTCCGCCGAATAAGGGGTTCTACGTGGCAGTTTCCACGTCGGACGACACCCAGCACGTGCCATGCGATATTCTCGCCCTGCTGAGCCAGTCATTGCTGGTTCGTGTAGGGTTACGCTAAGCGGTGTGAGAGAGTGATAAGGCAAATACGGCGATGAAATGAATGGCTGCTGCTACAGCATTAGTGTGGACTAATAGAATGCACGCGACGGCACCGCGACCAACGTGTTGTGCGGGCTTTGGCTTGGCAAGCATTCATTCACCCTTCGAGAGAGGCAGCACTAGCGAGAGGAAGCAGTAGCGAGGAACGGCGGGTGGGATGGGAGTGGGAGGGGCTGAGTTGAGTTGTTTGCAGGTATTGGTTGTGTTGGCTTGAGTGGGTTATGTTGGTCTGGGCTGAAATGGGTTGGGCTGGTTTTCGTTGGGTTAAGATGAGTTTCGGTGGGCTGGTTGGGGTTCGATGAGGCGAGGACACACTGAGGAATGAGGGACTGAGGAATTCACTTGCGAGATTCAGCACAACAGAGGAACAGACAGTTGGGTGGTAGGGGAGATTGAGTTGCAGCTATGGGTTTGGGCTGGGCTGGTTGGGTTTGGTTGGGTTAGGCTGGGTGTGAGGTAAGTACACTGAGGGGGGCTGGTTGGGTTTGGTTGGGTTAGGCTGGGTGTGAGGTGAGTACACTGAGGGGGCTGGTTGGAGCGATGGGTTTGGTGAGGGAAGGTTTGGCATTTTGGGTGAGGCACGGAAATTGGTGCAAATGACAAACACAGCAGTATCAGGAGAATCGAGAGCGATTCGTGAAAGTTGAATTACGGTTTATTAGCGCTATGATATGATGCAGCACGGTCTTTGACCCAAAGCTCAAATGCACAGTAAGTTGGTGAAAGAACGCAACGGCGGAGGGATGTACCCACGTTCAGGGAGATTGAAGTGAATGTATTTGTGAAAGGTCAAGTGCGGTCGATTAACGCTGCAGAACGGTGATTGAGCCGAGGCTGTGCTTGGCTTTCGCAAATTCCACCGCCATACCTCCCACTAACTTGTCTGGGCTGGACTCTCCTAACTCTCCCGATTTAGGAAACTGATAGCCCTTCAGGAAGTATTAGGGCGTGGAACATTTCGATTTTTTGGGTTGCGTAGCAACCCTATATAATCAGTTTCACTTTTTGGGGATATCATTTCAAAGGTGATTTTTGAAGCACTCTTTGGAGCACCCGCTTGAACAACTTTTTTGCCACCGTGTTCAAGAGAACGCCTCCAATAGTGAAAAAAAATCACTCGTGAATGAGATCCCAAAAGTGAAACCAATTACACATAATGTTGAAACCATGAATTTGTTCCGACCGTCCCAGCTCGTCGATAAATACGGCGGATGGTTCGATCGAACATGGCATCAACATAAACGGATGCACTTGTACAAGCGAACTGGGTATGAAGTGTGATGCGGATGCTTCAAAAAGTGTTACAATGCATCAATGTAGCAATAGAGATTGATGGGGCCGTTGAAACAACGAATACACGCTGCACCAACGACGATGACAACCTCTAGTTGCATACACGATACATTGGAACACCTCGTCTTGAAACACACACATCTCACAAACACGAATGCAAACGTCACGAAAAAAGTTGTGACGACATCAAAATGGATGCTTAATAGGCACCAATGCTACAACTGGGATTGATGGGGTCGTTGAGACAGTGAAAACCCACTGCCCCAACGACGATGACAACCTCAGCTGCAAACACGATGCATACCAGCACCACACCCTGAAATAATCACAACCAACCAACTGATACAGACACAAGCACACACACCCAACACACACACACACATACACACATACACACACACACACACAGATGCATACAGATACCGGTAATAAACACGCAACCATCACGAATTGAATCCAGTTACGGTACCATTCATAAATCATCGCTAGCTTATCCCCTCTTCTTTACCCTCCCTACACCCCTCCTTCCCTCCCTCCCTCATCTCCCTCCCTCCCCCTCCCTCATCTCCCTTCTCTGCCAAACAAAATCAGAGAATGCAGCTCACGCGCCCTGCACAAAGCAAAAACAGAAAATAAATTTCCACACCCTGCACAAGAAAAGGGAAAAAACAGAGAATGATCACACTCTGTGCAGAAAAGCAATAACAAATATACTGTAACTAACGTGCCCTGCGAGGAGGCCAAGCAGGAAACGCAACTCACCCGTAGAAAGCAAAGACAAAGAGTACACCTCACAGCATTGCACAAGAAAACAAAAACAGAGAATGCAGCTCACACATGCACTAGAAACGAAATAAGAACAATAGAAAACGTATAGATCAATCAAAGACGAGAAATGGAAATTGGTATCAGTCGTGGTGCTACAGTTCGCCGGGATGATGCAATACCTTGCAGCCACCCTCGCGTTCAGCTTCATCCTCACTCTTGTACTCAATCTCGCACCCACACACACGCTCAAACACTCTCATTTTTTTTACAAACATACAAATGTACACGCTCATATTTGCACAAACCCTCGCACTCCTGATCGTTCTCATTCACAATAACACTCTCACACCAACATACAGGCGCACGCAAACACATTCACATGCAACCTAGCACTAACACTCGCACTTGCTTTCGCACTCACCCTAGCACACACAGTCGCACGCACTCTCGCTCTCACCCTTGCACGCATACCCACTCATCCTCACGCTCTCTCACTCGCTCTCTCATGCGCTCTCTCACGCACACTCTCACGCGTACTCTCACGTGCACTCTCACGTGCCCTCTCACATGCTCTCTCACGCAAACTCTCTCGCGCGCTCTCCCTCGCTCTCTCGCGCGCACTCTCACGCACACTCTCACGCGCACTCTCACGCGCACTCTCACGCGCACTCTCACGTGCACTCTCACGCGCTCTCTCACGCGCTCTCTTACGCGCTCTCTCCCTCGCTCTTTCACGCGCTCTCTCACGCACTCCCTCACACGCACTCTCACGCGCACTCTCACGCGCTCTCTCACGCGCTCTCTCACACGCTCTCTAACGCGCACTCTCACGCGTCTCCCATGCGCACTCTCATGCGCTCTCTCACGCGCTCTCACACGCGCTCTCTCACGCGCTCTCTCACGCGCTCTCTCAAGCGCTCCCTCCCGTGCTCCCTCACGCGCTCTCTCAGGCGTTCTCTCACGCGTTCTCTCACGCGCTCCCTCACGCGCTCCCTCGTGCACTCTCTCACGCGCTCTCACACGCACTCTCATGCGCACTCTCACGCGCACACTCACGCCCTCACTCATGCGCTCTCTCACGCGCTCTCTCACGCACACTCTCACGCGCACTCTCACGTGCACTCTCACGCGCTCTCTAACGCGCACTCTCACGCATCTCCATGCGCATTCTCACGCGCTCTCTCATGCACTCTCTCACGCGCTCTCTCCCGCGCCTCTAACGCACTCTCGCACGCGCTCCCTCACACGCTCTCTCACGCACACTCACGCGCTCTCTCACGCGCTCTCTCACACGCACTCTCACGCGCTTTCTCGCACACACCCTCACGCGCTCTCTAACGCGCACTCCCACGCGTCTCCCATGCGCACTCTCACGCGCACTCTCACGCACTCTCTCACGCGCTCTCTCACGTGCTCTCTCACACGCTCTCTCACGTGCCTCTCACGCGCACTCGCACGCGCACACTCACGCGCTCTCGCACGCGCTCTCGCACGCGCTCTCTCACGCGCTCTCTCACGCGCTCTCTCAAGCGCTCCCTCACGCGCTCTCGCACGCGCTCTCGCACGCCCTCTCTCACGCGCTCTCTCACACGCTCTCTTACGTGCCTCTCACGCGCACTCGCACGCGCACACTCACGCGCTCTCGCACGCGCTCTCGCACGCGCTCTCTCACGCGCTCTCTCACGCGCTCTCTCAAGCGCTCCCTCACGCGCTCTCGCACGCGCTCTCGCACGCCCTCTCTCACGCGCTCTCTCACACGCTCTCTCAAGCACTCCCTCACGCGCACTCTCATACACACTCTCACGCGCTCTCTCACGCGCTCTCTCACGCGCTCTCTCCTGCGCCTCTCACGCACCTCTCACGCGCACTCTCACGCGCACTCTCACGCGCTCTCGCATGCCCTTTCTCACGCGCTCTCACGCGCTCTTTCACGCGCTCTCTCAAGCGCTCCCTCACGCGCTCCCTCACGCGCTCCCTCACGCAATCTCTCACGCGCTCCCTCACGCGCTCTCTCATGCGCTCTCTCACGCGCACTCTCACGCGCACACTCACGCCTTCACTCACGCGCGCTCTCACGCGCTCTCTCACGCGCTCTCTCACGCGCTCTCTCACGCGCTCTCTCACGCGCCCTCTCACGCGCTCTCGCACGCGCTCTCTCATGCGCTCTCTCACGCGCCCTCTCACGCGCTCTCTCCCGCGCCTCTCACGCACCTCTCACGCGCACTCTCACGCGCACTCTCACGCGCTCTCGCACGCCCTTTCTCACGCGCTTTCTCACGCGCACTTTCACGCGCTCTCTCAAGCGCTCCCTCACGCGCTCCCTCACGCGCTCCCTCACGCAATCTCTCACGCGCTCCCTCACGCGCTCTCTCATGCGCTCTCTCACGCGCACTCTCACGCGCACACTCACGCCCTCACTCACGCGCGCTCTCACGCGCTCTCTCACGCGCTCTCTCACGCGCTCTCTCACGCGCTCTCTCACGCGCCCTCTCACGCGCTCTCTCACGCGCTCTCTCACGCGCTCTCTCACGCGCCCTCTCACGCGCCCTCTCACGCGCACTCTCACGCGCACACTCTCGCGCTCTCGCACGCCCTCTCTCACACGCTCTCGCACGCGCTCTCTCACTCGCTCTCTCAAGCGCTCCTTCACTCGCTCCCTCACGCGCTCCCTCACGCGCTCTCTCATGCGCTCTCTCACACGCTCTCTCAAGCGCTCCCTCACGCGCTCCCTCACGCGCTCCCTCACGCAATCTCTCACGCGCTCCCTCACGCGCTCTCTCATGCGCTCTCTCACGCGCACTCTCACGCGCACACTCACGCCCTCACTCACGCGCTCTCTCACGCGCTCTCTCACGCGCTCTCTCACGCGCTCTCTCACGCGCTCTCTCACGCGCTCTCTCACGCGCTCTCTCACGCGCCCTCTCACGCGCTCTCTCACGCGCTCTCTCACGCGCTCTCTCACGCGCACTCTCACGCGCACACTCTCGCGCTCTCGCACGCCCTCTCTCACACGCTCTCTCACGCGCTCTCTCACGCGCTCTCTCAAGCGCTCCCTCACGCGCTCCCTCGCGCGCTTCCTCACGCGCTCTCTCATGCCCTCTCTCACGCGCTCTCTCACGCGTTCGCTCCCGTGCACACGCTCTCCCTCTCGCTCCGTCTCTTCTCTTCTTCAAATGAAAGTGCAATGCAAGAAGAGACCAATTAATACACAAAAATTACGAAGAAGCAAAAAAGAAAGAGAGAGAAAATCAGAGGGGAAGGGTAGATGAAAGGATCGGGAACGCACCTGATAACAACGGTGCCTCAGAAAACAACCCGCGCTGGTGCACCAACCCGCGCTTGCGCTCGTGCACCTGTCGCCGGAGGCGACGGCGGGGAGGGAAGGAGAGGCGACGGCGGGGAGGAGGGAGAGGCGACGGCGGAGAGGAGGGAGAGGCGACGGCGGAGAGGAGGGAGAGGCGACGGCGGGGAGGAGGGAGAGGCGACGGCGGGGAGGAGGGAGAGGCGACGGCGGGGAGGAGGGAGAGGCGACCGCGGGGAGGAGGGAGAGGCGACGGCGAGGAGGAGGGAGAGGCGACCGCGGGGAGGAGGGAGAGGCGACCGCGGGGAGGAGGGAGAGGCGACCGCGGCTGGGAGCGAGAGAGGGGCGATGGCGGGATGGGAGGGAGCGGCGACGACGGGTGAGAGGGAGAGGCGACGGGGCGGAGTAAGGGAGAGGATATAGGGATGGGAGGAGAGGCGACGGCTGGGTGGGAGAGAGTGGCGGCGGCAAGGTGTTTGGTTCAGATGGTAGGTAAGTCGCGACTGCAGATTTGAGAATGGGTGGGTTCGGAGGGAGAAGCACCTTGGGTGGGGAGAGGAAAGGGCATAGTGGTGCTGTTCTGTTGGAGTTCTCATCGCCGCACCGTTGGTGGATTAGTAAATTTCGTATTAACTTCAGGTACCTTTTTGGTTGACTTGGCAACACATGAAGGTTCAGTTATAACCGAGGTAAACTTCTCGTTTGAACAACTCAGCCAAACTCGGGTCTGCCCATCGGGAACCCGGTCTGGCACAAATGTGAACGGAGGGTAACCTCTCCCCCCCTTCCTTCCTCCACCCACATAGGTTTCGAGCAGCAAGGACTCGAGAAAATATTTTCTTGAAATTTGATTTCGGTCGGTGGTTGGGCGTTCAAGCTGCCCTGAGCAACTTTTCTGGCTTTTTGTTCCAGCCCCGTTATCAGTGGTGCGGAGGTGATTTCACCTCAAGAGGTCAAACCAGCCGTGCGGACCAATTGCCTGGCGAGGAATTAGCGTGGAACAAACGGGCGGTTCTAGTACAGTGTCACAAAAGTGCTGTTCTGCATGTTTTCTCGGTTTTCTTGATGCACCCAGCTTCGGACAGTGCCCAACCTGAACCGACGCACCACTGGTGCGGATGGAAGAATCCGCGAAGGCCATTTTTTGCCAAAAGAACAGCGCCAGTGTACGATCAAGAACCAAGAACCAAGAACCAAGAAGTGACAGCGTCGAATTCGAATTGGCAGGTGTGAAAGGGAAAAGATACACTATTTTCTCGTGACAATGACATCTAATATTTTGGGCCTATTCGCTTGTGACATTCTTAAGGTGATATAATTCTGAAGCTGTCACATTGGCTATATGATGTTCTTGAAATAGGATTGTAGCCTTAGAACCACTCGATACTTGTCACCAACCAAAGATCGGAGATTTCAATGATTTTGTTTGTAATAATTATCTTTTCCTAGAAGGAATCAGCAGCAAGCTTGTCCTAGTCTAAATAAAATGGACGAACATTATAATTTGCTTTCCGTATGTTCCATCATAATATTTCCATCATTATGTTCATATACGAGGAATACAACTCTACGCAACCCTTCCGACGTAAACGTCGAATCTTGTTTCCAAACGAACCATACCGTCTGAACGGTGGAAAGTGGCGCATTTGTCAAGCGGTTTGTTCAAGTAGGTTTCTATACGAATCAATGCGGTTATTTTCCGAACCGTACTTTCGTACGGAAAAAAAGCCGAAATGTTCCACGCCCTTAGGTGCAGTATGTAGCGTATAGAGGACAACGTTGCAACTATGGTTCTAATAGCCTCCTTGTAACGAAACTACTATTTTATAGTCGACTTGGAAATTCCTTGAAATTCCTTGTTTTTCCTGCGGACACCCGCCAGCCAGTTCTACTAGTCGGTAGCAGTACCCTGATCGTCACATAACAGCAGCAATCGTTAAAGCCGCAGGATTTACAGCAGCATTCGTTACAGGCGAGCGCAATGTCGTCAGCGCTGCGCCACGTGCCGTGGGGAGAGTGGGAGGCGGTGCGGGTCGAGTCGAGTCTGCTGGGGCCCGCCGCTACTACTCGCAAATCTATATCCTTCGGCGGGATCGGCCGGGTAGGTGTACCATTATCACAGTCCGTTATAGCACTACGCGTTACCACGTATTGTGGGCGTGTGGAGGAACGAAAGGCGGTGTGGCCGAGTCTGCCGGACCCCGCGGCTACGCGGCGAGTCAATATCCTTCGGGATCGACCGTGTAGGTGTACCACCGTTTTCCTGACATCCCGTTATAGCATTACTCATTATCGAGTCTCGTCGTGGGCAAGGAGTGAGAGTCGGTGAGGGCTACTCGCGAGTCCATATCCTTCGGAGATCGACCGGGTAGTCATTTGAGTGATACTGTGATCCGCGATCCGTTATTACAATCTGTAATATTGGGTCGTTGCCGCTACTCGCCATTCTGTAAGCGTTCGGCTCTGCCCGCGGCAACCGTTATACCGTCATCACGTTTTGTGATTGTTTTGAAAGGATTGGTACGCGGGGAGGGAGCGCGTGTCGAGATTTCTCACTAAACCCCAAACATCTATCCCTCCCTACACTTGTCTCAACTTTTCTGTCTGCCAGGTTTCTTAAACCTCAAGCCGCTTGTGCAAGAACGAACATATACGCCCTTGGGAATACTTCAGATGGCATACTGGCTGTGCAGCAGCAGATCCGAAGATCTTGCATTTAGGCTCGTAACTCAGGTTTGGCAATGTAGGTTCAGAATGCGACAGGATCGGAATTCTTCTCTTCCCCCTCCCTCCATCCTACCCTTCTTCTACCCTCCCACCCACGCAGTTGCTTTGCTTCCGCCATGAGTGCTCCGCCAGTCATTCTCTGCCATGTGTACAATCCATCCGTACATCAATCCCTCCCATCCTCCCCACAACTCCCCTATCCCCTCCATCCCTCCCTCCCTCCCACCTCCAGGCCACCCCACATGGTGCCCCCTCTACCGCTATTCGTGCGCTGCCAGTCATATGCGGCCGTGATGATGAGGTCGGTTAGTTGTAGGCCCATTACACACGGTTGAGAGAGGTTATGTGCGGTTTGTGCTCTACCAACCAGCCAGTCACATGCAGCCGTGATCATCAGGTAAGTCAGTCTGGAGTTTAGGATTCGGGATTTCGGGTTTAATCAGCCAACACCACCATGGTTCTATCAGCCTGAACACACACACCATTCTACCCACGTTCGGCACGGCTAGATGGCTGAGGGTGATGTGATTTCTGTGCGGTTTGTACTCCGCCAGCCATGCGCTGCCTCCGCTTGTCCTTGTTCCGTGTCCATCCTGGTCCCTGCCCTGCCATGTGTAGGTTCGTATTCTGGCGTGGTAATGCGGGGTGATGAAGGTTCATGATAAGTCCTGATTCGTCTGTTCCCTTGTCCATTGAGCTACTAGGCCCGTTCTGTTCCGTTCTCCCTCTCCTTCCCTGCCCTGCCTGCCACGTGTAGGTCTGTGAGTGGTCTGTGAGGCAATCGCAATCTAGCCCTGGTTCCGTCGGTCGTCGGTGGGTGGTGAGCCCTCACGTGGGCAGAGTTGACTTTTGAGTCGACTCAAAAATGGTCGGTGGGTGGTGAGCCCTCACGTGGGCATCCCACGACTGCTGGTGGACGCCAGGCACTGTGAGGCTTAGATTGTAGGGTGGTGGCGGGTGGTGGAGGGTGGTGGAGGATGGTGGAGGGTGGTGGCGGGTGGGCATGCCGCTCTTCTTGCCTGTCGCCCCTCCATTCCTCAGCCTTGACCCGCAATCGCCTGCTGCTTCTTCCAGTGCTGAAGCTCCTTCCTTCCCCTCCCTCCTCACTCCACCTTCTTTCCACCCTCCCGCTCTTCTTGCCTGTCTCCCCTCTGTTCGACAGTGCTGCTACTGGCAGTCACTGAGGTGAGAGGAAGGGGTGTGCATGGTGGTCGGTTGTGGGAGAGAGGCGGAGAGAGAGTCAGTGCATAAGTTGGGGGTGGGAGGAGAGGCAGGGAAGAGAGAGAAGGTCACTCGCCTGTTGCTGCTTTCAGTGCTGCGATTGGCAGTCACTCAGGTGAGAGGAAGGGGTGTGCATGGTGGTTGGGAGGAAAGAGAGGGGGGGGGTCAGAGAGAGTCAAGGGGGGATCAGAGAAGGTCAAGGGGGGATCAGAGAAAGTCAAGGGGAGATCAGAGAAAGTCAAGGGGGATCAGAGAAAGTCAAGGGGGGATCAGAGAAAGTCAAGGGGGGATCAGAGAAAGTCAAGGGGGGATCAGAGAAAGTCAAGGGGGGATCAGAGAAAGTCAAGGGGGGATCAGAGAGAATCAAGGGGGGATCAGAGAGAATCAAGGGGGGGTCAGAGGAAGTCAAGCGGGGATCAGAGAAAGTCAAGGGGAGATCAGAGAAAGTCAAGGGGAGATCAGAGAAAGTCAAGGGGGGATCAGAGAAAGTCAAGGGGGGATCAGAGAAAGTCAAGGGGGGATCAGAGAAAGTCAAGGGGGGATCAGAGAAAGTCAAGGGGGGATCAGAGAAAGTCAAGGGGGGATCAGAGAAAGTCAAGGGGAGATCAGAGAAAGTCAAGGGGGGATCAGAGAAAGTCAAGGGGGGATCAGAGAAAGTCAAGGGGGGATCAGAGAGAATCAAGGGGGGATCAGAGAGAATCAAGGGGGGGTCAGAGGAAGTCAAGCGGGGATCAGAGAAAGTCAAGGGGAGATCAGAGAAAGTCAAGGGGGGATCAGAGAAAGTCAAGGGGGGATCAGAGAAAGTCAAGGGGGGATCAGAGAAAGTCAAGGGGGGATCAGAGAAAGTCAAGGGGGGATCAGAGAAAGTCAAGGGGGGATCAGAGAAAGTCAAGGGGAGATCAGAAAAAGTCAAGGGGGGATCAGAGAAAGTCAAGGGGGGATCAGAGAAAGTCAAGGGGGGATCAGAGAAAGTCAAGGGGGGATCAGAGAAAGTCAAGGGGGGATCAGAGAAAGTCAAGGGGGGATCAGAGAAAGTCAAGGGGGGATCAGAGAAAGTCAAGGGGAGATCAGAGAAAGTCAAGGGGGGATCAGAGAAAGTCAAGGGGGGATCAGAGAAAGTCAAGGGGAGATCAGAGAAAGTCAAGGGGGGATCAGAGAAAGTCAAGGGGGGATCAGAGAAAGTCAAGGGGAGATCAGAGAAAGTCAAGGGGGGATCAGAGAAAGTCAAGGGGGGATCAGAGAAAGTCAAGGGGGGATCAGAGAAAGTCAAGGGGGGATCAGAGAAAGTCAAGGGGGGATCAGAGAAAGTCAAGGGGGGATCAGAGAGAATCAAGGGGGGGTCAGAGGAAGTCAAGCGGGGATCAGAGAAAGTCAAGGGGAGATCAGAGAAAGTCAAGGGGGGATCAGAGAAAGTCAAGGGGGGATCAGAGAAAGTCAAGGGGGGATCAGAGAAAGTCAAGGGGGGATCAGAGAAAGTCAAGGGGGGATCAGAGAAAGTCAAGGGGGGATCAGAGAAAGTCAAGGGGGGATCAGAGAAAGTCAAGGGGAGATCAGAAAAAGTCAAGGGGGGATCAGAGAAAGTCAAGGGGGGATCAGAGAAAGTCAAGGGGGGATCAGAGAAAGTCAAGGGGGGATCAGAGAAAGTCAAGGGGGGATCAGAGAAAGTCAAGGGGGGATCAGAGAAAGTCAAGGGGGAATCAGAGAAAGTCAAGGGGAGATCAGAGAAAGTCAAGGGGGGATCAGAGAGAATCAAGGGGGGATCAGAGAGAATCAAGGGGGGGTCAGAGGAAGTCAAGCGGGGATCAGAGAAAGTCAAGGGGAGATCAGAGAAAGTCAAGGGGGGATCAGAGAAAGTCAAGGGGAGATCAGAGAAAGTCAAGGGGGGATCAGAGAAAGTCAAGGGGGGATCAGAGAAAGTCAAGGGGGGATCAGAGAAAGTCAAGGGGGGATCAGAGAAAGTCAAGGGGGGATCAGAGAAAGTCAAGGGGGGATCAGAGAAAGTCAAGGGGAGATCAGAGAAAGTCAAGGGGGGATCAGAGAAAGTCAAGGGGGGATCAGAGAAAGTCAAGGGGAGATCAGAGAAAGTCAAGGGGGGATCAGAGAAAGTCAAGGGGGGATCAGAGAAAGTCAAGGGGGGATCAGAGAAAGTCAAGGGGGGATCAGAGAAAGTCAAGGGGGGATCAGAGAAAGTCAAGGGGGGATCAGAGAAAGTCAAGGGGGGATCAGAGAAAGTCAAGGGGGGATCAGAGAAAGTCAAGGGGAGATCAGAGAAAGTCAAGGGGGGATCAGAGAAAGTCAAGGGGAGATCAGAGAAAGTCAAGGGGGGATCAGAGAAAGTCAAGGGGGGATCAGAGAGAATCAAGGGGGGATCAGAGAGAATCAAGGGGGGGTCAGAGGAAGTCAAGCGGGGATCAGAGAAAGTCAAGGGGAGATCAGAGAAAGTCAAGGGGGGATCAGAGAAAGTCAAGGGGGGATCAGAGAAAGTCAAAGGGAGATAAGAGAAAGTCAAGGGGGGATCAGAGAAAGTCAAGGGGGGGTCAGAGTAAGTCATTGGGGGGTCAGACAAAGTCAACGGGTCGTCAGACAAAGTCAACGGGGGGTCAGAGAGTCAATAGAGGATTAACAGGCCAAGAAGAATTTAACAAGGCACACACTTATCTTTCTCAATCTCCCATTTCCTCCTCCGTTTCCCCCTTACTCTCTTCCCATTCCACTTCAGGCCCTGGGCTGGCCAGTCTGCAACTAGCCTTGTGCTGTGGGCACCATGCCGTACCTAGCTGTCTGTCAGCTCCGTCGTTCTTCCGAACCTGGAACCTCCACTGGAAGTTGCGAGGAAGTCCAGCCGTGGCAGGCTCGGATTTCGGTTTGGTCAGGGTGGGAGTTCGGGCGGGCCGATTTCGAACGAGATAGCAGCCATGGGAATCGCTGAGGCCGATCCCGTTGCCCTTGCCATCGATGCTGCTGCATATCGACTAAAATATCGCTGCTTCCTGTGTCGACTAAAATATCGCTGCTTCTGCCGCTGCCGCTGCCTCTGCCACCACGTGTGCGCCTGTTGGCATTGCTGCGGCTGATCCCCTTGCCTGGGCATGCCATTTATGCTGGTTCATATCCCAACAATCCAGCACTTGCGGTCTCCTCCAATCCCAGTTTGCTATCGCACCCACCTCCCCACCAACAGCACCAATAGCAACACCAACAGCACCAGCACAAGCACCAGCACCACCACCAACAGCACCAACAGCAGCACCAGCAGCACCAGCACCACCAACAGCACCAGCACCACCACCAGCACTAGCACCAAAAGCAGCACCAAATCCCACCCTGGATTCGTTCTCCTCTGTTTCTGCATCGTCCCCTTCCTCTCTAACCCCATCAATCTCCCCATCAATCTCACCACGATTCCTCTCCTCAGCAAACACCATGGCTGCACAAGTTGATCAACGGAGGAAGCAGGGGTTGTGTTGCGGGGAGGTGCTGGGGCTAGGCGAGGCGACTCGTGGCCCTGTTGCTGCTTCAGGGTAGTATAATCGTGCAGCTTTGAAACACGCAATTGCCCTAATCTGACCACAAAGACCAGATGTGTTGCTTGATTTTTCTCTTGTGTTGATTTATCTTCTTCTATACGCCATACTTCCACCTTGGGATTGGATGGGAGGGGATCCAGTTGTATTGCTTGATGAAGATTGCTCTGGCTCTGGCCCGAGAAGGCATGTACCAAGGCCATACCAAGGGGGAAGGGAGGGGTGTGTGGGGTGAAGGGGGTCCTGCATATATACCGGTATGGTACAAGCATGCAGTGGTGTTTTTCACAAGCTGTATTTCCCTGGTTTAAGGAGCCTCTCTGTCTGCTGCAGCTTGTTTATTAGGGCATGTCCACCAGTCAAGCAGGGGCTAGTTAGCATTAAACAATATACAGAGATCTAAATGTAAGTTATATCTGTAGAGGTGATCATATGCTCAAGTGGGGAGGATGGTTCTATGCACAGGCAGGAAGTGAGGTCCCATACAAATTGGCGTTCCCTGGTTTACCCCCGAGTACAGCTTCTCTTCAGCTTGCTCAGAGTGGAAAGGACAGCCCTATACTGTCGGTTCCCTCCCATCGTCCCATACAAACGGCTCTATGCACAAGCAGGCAGCGGGGCTCCACACAAATTGGCGTTCCCTGGTTTACCCCCGAGTACAGCTTCTCTTCAGCTTGCTCAGAGTGGAAAGGACAGCCCTATACTGTCGGTTCCCTCCCATCGTCCCATACAAATGGCTCTATGCACAAGCAGGCAGCGGGGTTCCACACAAATTGACGTTCCCTGGTCTGAACGAGCCTCTCTTTAATTTGCTCAGAGCAGCAGGAACAGCCCCTGACAGCCGATTCCCCGCCAGCAGCACTTGCCGTATGCCTGCTGGCCAAACCGAGGGAAGGGAACCTGTCAGGTTGTTGTATGCCAAGCTTAGTCCTTGCAGCTGCTTCATATTGCTCACACCAGCTGGGATCGCTCCCGTGAGGGCGTTATTGTCGAGGCGCAGGCGCGTGAGGTTTGTAAAGGAGCTGATTGTAGCGGGGATGGGGCCGGACAAGCGGTTGGAAGCAAGGTTGAGAAATTCGAGGGAGGCGGCGCAGGCGGGGGAGGAGAGCGGGGTGGGCGGGCCGGAGAGGTCGTTGGAGGCGAGATTAAGGTAAAACATTTGGTCCTCGCCCTTGCAGAAGGCGGGGATGGTGCCTGGGGGGGATGATGGGGCGAGGGACGAGGAGCAGGGAGGGGAGAGACAGGAAAATAGGAAGAAATAGTAGTAGGTGAGGAAGATGAGGGCTTGATCACCCAGCAGAAGGCGGGGATGGCGCCTGGGGGGTGCGGGGAAGGGGAGGTAGCGTAGGAGGAAGTTAAGTGACGGGGCCTGAGGGAGGGGGCAGGGGAATCGGAACGAGAAGAGTGGAGGAGAGAACAGAAAATTCAACAGAGGAAAACAAATGAGTGGTTCAGAGTGGTTGGTCCCAACAGGCAAACACAAATCTGAAATCATAAATTCTGGTTTTTACCGTATAGATTTTACTGATCTGCAGTTTACCAGTGAGCTCACCTGTGAGAGCGTTTCTCCTGAGGTCTAAGGTCTGAAGATCAAGACGGGTGAGGCCTTGGGGAATGCTTCCTGTGAACTTGTTGAATCCGAGGTCCAGGGTAGAGAGATCCGGCAGCTTTGTAAACGGCTGCAAGCTGCCCGAGAAATTGTTGTGGCTTAAAAAGAGCTCAACAGGAGTACTTTCGGAATTGAAACAGTTTGCTGGAACGGCTCCTGTCAGGCGGTTCCGTGAAAAATCAGTTGTCATGGAGGCGCCCGGACGGCACAAAATTTGCGGGAACGAGCCCGAAAACAAATTATTGGAAACGTTGATGAAGCCCACGTCAAGATCCCCAAACTTGATCGAGTTGAAATCTCCAGAAAGCTTGTTCCCGCTTACGCGAAAAATAGACGTCTTGATTTGCTGCCCGCTCAGGTCGCCGGAAAGCCGGTTCCCATCCAAAATGATATCAATCACTGGTTCCTCCCTTTCCAGTATAGCAGGAGGGATATTCCCGGTTAGCCGATTCGAGCTCATAAGTATCCCATCAAGCCTCGGCAGCGTCGCGAGGGCAGCAGGGATTGGCCCGGACAGCCTATTATAACCGAGATCCAGATTCTCTAGCGAAGTCGCCGCGTACGCAGCAGGACCTTGTGGTAACCCGCCGGAGAAGAAATTATGGGAGGCTAAGGGCGTATTCTTGGCTTTGGGACATCCGCTCTTTGAGTCATCCGAAATTGTGGGATCCAATCGGAAAACCCGAATTCCGAGATCGGGGGTTTTCGATTGGATCCCACAATTTCGGATGACTCAAAGAGCGGATGTCCCGAAGCCAAGAATACGCCCTAACACCTCGGAAAGCCGCCATGAGAAAAATGGCGGCAGGAAGAGGACCAACGAAGCAGTTATAACTAAGATCGAATCTCTGCATTTTCGTAAGCCGGGAAAACGATTGCGGGACCGAGCCAGCAAGCCAGAGATACGACACCCCGAGATATGTGAGACCCTTAAACTGGCCGATAGAATCGGAGAGGGTTGCGGGGAATTTTCCGCCGGGTACGCGCGCAGTACGGTTGCAAAGGCGAGGCGTGCGTGGGGGGGGGGCGCGGTGAGTCGAAGTCGATGTAGTCGTCGAAGGATAGCTCCTGAACAGCGCCGCCTTTCGCGGCGCAACTCACGCCGGGCCACGTGCACGCGTTCGGCTGCTTCGCCGGGATAGGTAGCAGCGCGGCCGTGAAGATCGCCTTGAGAGCCGCCGTGTCAGCCGCGGAAGCTTGCGGCGCGGCTGCGGAGGATGCGCGCAACCCGGAACTCCCTGACCGGCTGTACCCGCCTCTGCGTCCCCCCGCGGATGCTCTCTCCGCCCGCCGCGCAGCGAGAAGCTGCGCCACGCCAGGCGGAACCATCCGCGCGGAGGATCCGCGGCGAGCAGCAGGCAGCTTCGAAACAATCTGCCTCGATATGGGCCGGAAAGCCGACGTCGGTGAGCAGTAGAGGAGTAACAGGAGGAGGCACGCTGTGGTACTAACGTGAACGCGCAGCGCGTAGTGAGGAACGGCGAGGGAAGGCGCGACTCGAGGGTAATCTACTACGTCCGCCATGTGTGCCTCCAAGTCAAGCGATTTCCAACTTCCCCAGAATGCTCAAGTGAGAACCAAAACCTAAGTTCATAAAGAAACCTGAACGCGTTTCCAGCAATGAAGTTAGGTAAAGGGAACGAATAGAGAAGCGATACGAGCTCAAGATAAGATGGCGGTGAGCTGTCCTGGGGGTCAGTGCTTGACTTCCGTCCAATAAGAGTCCTATGTGGTAGTTTCCACGTCGTAAGACACACCCCACACGTGCCAAGCGATTTTCTCGCCGAGCTGTCCACATAACATACTGCTGAGCCAGTCATCGCTAAGAATGCGATGAAATGAACGGCTGCTGCTACAGCAGTATTATGGACTAATAGGACGTACGCGACGGCACCGCCAGACGCAACATGTTAGGTGTGGGGCTGGCTTGGGCATTCATCCTTTCGGAGAGGCGCCATTAGCGAGATGCGCTACTAGCGAGGGACGGCGAGAGGATGGAGTAGATTTGCGTCGTCCGAGGGAGGAAGCAAGGTGTAAATATGCAGCTACGTATTGGATTGGTTGGACTGGTTTCGGATGGATTGAATTTGTTGGGTTGGTTGGGTATTGTTGGGCTGGGCTGACTTGGGCTGGGTTGGGTTGGGTTGGTTTGGTCTGGTTTTGGTGAGGTGCGGACAGCCAGAGGGGCTGGTTTGGTTGGAGCCAAGAGGCACGGGCGATAATAGACGAATGAAGATCAAAAGGGACTTGTAAAAGTTCAAGTGCGGTTCATTAGAGGCAGCGAATGATTCAGCACGGTTGGTTTGGTCTGGTCTGAGCTGGTTGGCTTGGTTTGGGTTGGGTTGGGTGACGTGAGGGCACCTGAAGGGTTTGGTTGGAGCGATAGAAGATTCATATGCGCTACAGTGTGATGCAGCACAGTGATTGCGCCGAAGCTGAAACGCGCGTTGTGTTGTTCACGTCTCGCCTGGACCCCTAACTCTGATTTGCTCTCACGTCTGGAAGCAAATAGGGAGCTATTTACTAGGAAGCAAATAACCTTTCAGGAAGCACTACGTGTAGTATGGAGCACATAGAGGAATAGAGTTGAAATGATATGAGGAGCATGATGTTCCTACATATGTTACCAGATCCCTACTTTAAACTAAATTACTATTTAGTCGACAAAAATATTTCTAGCAGATTCGATCTGATATTCTGCGGTCGTTTGCCAGGCCAGCACGAGTGAGTAGTGGCATCGTCATCCCTACGCTTGATCGACTAAGAATCATCAGCATTCGTTAACACATATTACTTACAGTCGCATTCGTTATAGGCTAGGGTTAGCGCTGCGCCACGTGTCATGGGTCCTGAGAGGAATAGGAAGCGCTACGGGCAAGTCTGCTGGGGCCCGCCGCGACCCGCGAATCCATCTCCTTCAGGATCGACCGGCCGGGTAGGTAGTAGGTGTCGCCGTATCCCCGCTGTAGTGCGATTCGTGAATCGATACTGTGTCTTGTGAGTGTCCTGCGAGGAGTAGGATGCGGTGAGGGAGAGCTTGGGTCTATCAGCTTCGGTAGGTAGCACCGTGGCAGCCAAGCCACTGCTATCCCTGATATGAAGCCATTCGTTATCCCCCAAGTGAATATTGATCGTCCCAGGAGGGGTGAAATACGGTGAGTAGGTTTTTAATCGTCATGTCCTTATTCCGTTCGAAATGAGGATCCTCATTCTCTCGTTTTCATGTTTCTGTGACCTGTGAAACCGCAAACACTATTCCGCTCCCCTCCATTCCGCCCTTGGTTTTGAACCGACAGGTGGCAGCACGGCAGATAAGGGGCCGAATTCCGGCCTCTGTAGACGTGACAGCTGGCATACTCGCCGTGCAGCTGCAGGACCCGGACCTCTGGTAGGTTCGGGGTGGAGGTTCGGGGATGCAGGTTCGCCGTACGCTTGGGGATGTTGGTTTAGAATGGTCGCTTCCGGGCAGGACTGGTTCAGAACCTTTTTTGTTTCTCTCTCTCTCTTTATCTCAACTCCCATCTCTGTTCTCTCTTATTCCTGCTTCCCTCCCTCCTTGTGCTCTTCCTTCCCGTGGTTGGACCGAGCAGCTCCCGTGGTTTGATCAAAGGCAGTGGTTTGACCCGAAGGCCGGCTCAGCTTCGACACCCCTACACCCTAAAGCCTGTACCGACACCAGCCTGCCTGTCCCACTCCCACCCTTCCGTCTTCTCCACCACAACCAGCAAGGGAGAGAGAGGGGGGTGGAGGGGGCGTGTGAGCGACTCAAAACGTGGCAGTTATAGCCCCCTTCCTCGGATGCCTGTTGCTGTGGCGGCAGGCGTTGCAGCCGGCAGGAAGGCAGGGGGTGTGCGTTGGCATGATCGAAGGGTGTGGCCAGGAGCATAACAAACAAGCAGGCAGCTGTCTGCTGTCTGCTCTCTGCCGTCTGCTGTCTGCTGTCCAGCCATCTGACAAACCCTCTCCTCTCTCTCTCAACCGCACTTCCCCTGCTACCCTACCTATCTGCAACCGGTTCAGAACCAATGTTGCTGCGATGGCCGGTCCTGTTCCAATCCCCACCCCCCTGCTTCACCCCCTTCTTCCCCACTTCCCGCCAATTCCCCTTCCCTCCACTCTTCACCTATTCGAAACCGATGCATGATGCGATGACCCATCCTATCATCCTAACCCCATGCTTCCTCGCCCACTTCCCTGCCTGCTCCCCCCCACTCCCCCCATCCCCCATCCAGCCACTCTTCACCTGCAGGTCTGTTCGGAACCAATGCATGCTGTGGCAGCTTCATGCAGACAGGCACCACTGACAGTGGGTGGTTACCTTGTAACCGTGACAGCGTACAGCCATCCCCATGGCAGCATCTTCTGGGACCGAAGCTTGAGGCACCTCAAGACAGTAGGTGGTTACCAGGTAACCGACACAGCATGCAGCCGCCCCCTGCACAGCCTCTTCTAGGGCCGCCTGCATCCCTCAGAGGTGCGGGCTGGCCCGAAGCATTTTCATGGGCGGCAAGGGACGGATTGCCCCAATGGGTGTGCGCCAGCTGGCTTGCGTCGCGAGGCAGGAGAAGAAATATGGTTTTATAATATGGTCGGTCGTTGTGTGCCAGGTGGAGCAGCCATGTTTGTATTGGTACCGAATGTCATGGCACCAATGATGGCTGACTGACCTCTTCTTCCTTTGCTGTGTTATGCTTACCGTTGCTCATGTATGGTTCCTCCTGAGGGTGTTGGGCTTGATAATGTTTGGAGTGTGGGTGGGTGAGGTTTAGCAATCTGTACTAGTTGGATAAGATCATGTGGAATGATGTGTTTATTCTGTTATGTTACGTAGGATAAATTGAATTCATCATCATACGGTAAGGGTGCATTCCGCTGTGGACACTGTCTCAAAGAAAGTGTCCCAATCGTATTTGTTACTAATTGTGACAACTAAATCAATGTTCGTCACAGAAATATGCAACCACTCATGTTACGACATCTGGCAAAGTCGTCGCTGTTTATGGTTTGAAGTTTCACAATTAGTGACGAAGGGGTATCACGATTAGCCACAAACATTGTTTTCGGCGTATCACAATTAGTCACGAACATTCTGTTCGGAGTGTCACAATTAGTCACAAATACGATTGGGACACTTTCTTTGGGACAGTGTCCACAGCGGAATGTACCCTAAGTATCACATCCTGTTCCCAACAAGCTAGATCTTGTTGTACATTAGTGGAAGATGCATGCGATTTTTCATCAAAGCCACCCTAGGGAATCAGACAAGAATGCCATTTTACACTAGTATAAAGTTTATGAAATTTTGTGTATATTAGAAAGAAAAAAAGGCTGAAAACCCAGCCTCGGTTCTGGAAAAAAGTCTGAACTCTCAGCCCTATTTACCTAAATCAACATGTTTTTGCTGACTTATGAAGCACTGCTACAGTGCTACTACTCACTATAGCCTAACATGTAAGTATATGTTTTGACATACCCGCATAGGCTAGTTGATGAGCAGCCCAAGGCGGCATTGAAACACGAGGTTACAAGACATGTCAAGACAAGCAACAAGGCAAGACAAGCAACTTGGGGTGGTACGACTAGCAAGTCTCCAATACAAACGGCCACAAGGCCAGTCCAAGAGCAGGAAACAAGAGGTAAGTCAACAACAAACGAGGGAATGTCTGACCGAGGCCAAGTTGTTAGCAGAACGTGTGGTAATCACCAAGCGGGAGGGCCTTGGTGAAGATGTCCCCAGGTGTTACGCGAATGTTATGAGGGTCGCGAAGCGTCCCGAACAGAACCTTCCCGAACTCGGTAGAAAGCAATTCGGTGGCAACCGAAAGGCTTGAGATCGGTACACGTAACCTGGTTCGGTGCTATAACTATAATAACATATAGGAATGCACCTAACCTAGTGAATCAAGCATATCTATGCATGATAAAATAAACCCAAGCTAGATATAGCATAATAAGCAAGCATAAGCCGTCGTACTCTCACACGTCCCCCCCTCAAAGCTGGGTGGCGTGAGATACACCCTGCTTGACAAGATAGTCTGCGTGCGTTGCCCATATCAGCTTCTGCAACCCAACTGTCCTCAGTGGGGTCATAACCCTTCCAGCGTATTAGGAACTCGAGGGTCTTGCCGCCGCGGCGCCGATGAGTGAGAACGCGCTCCACTTCGTACTCTGGTTCATCCTGTATGAGAACAGGTGGTGGTGGCGGTAGTTGACGTCCCTGGAACCGTTGGTTGGGGTCCTTGTAGGGCTTCAGTAGCTGAACATGGAAAGCGTTGTGAAGCTTCCACGTAGTAGGTAAGCGCAAGCGGAATGTTACTGGTGTCACCTGTGCCTCAACGTGAAAGGGACCACAGAAGCGAGGCCGGAGATTGGATGGTAGGTGAGACAGGTTCAAGTTGCACGTGCCGAGGAGCACCTGATCTCCGACTGCTACCGTGTGATCACGTCGCTGGCGATCGACATACTGCTTCTGGGAATTCTGCATCGTGATGAGGCGTCGTTGAGTCTTCTCCCATAGCTGCTGC